ACATCATTTCCATTTTACAATTGAAATTGAGGCTTGGGTGGGCTAAATAAGTTGCCCAAGATCACAAAGTAAATTGTTGTGGGATGGAAAATGGCACTTTTGTCAGCAAGAATGTATTTATTTAATTTCTAATAATAACCATCAATTTTTAGGGCATCTGTTTTTCAAGCTCTGTTCTATAAGCTCACTGTCTTCCTGGCTGAACATCCCTATGATTGCTCCTGAGAAAAGATGGAGCTATAGCCATTTCCCACCAAAAAAATTAAAATCGTAGCATGAAAGAGAGAAGACTATGCCAAGAGATGGGAAGAAATTCAGTTCTGATCATACTACTGATCCTTAAATTTAGCCCTGCCTGAATCCAGATTCCCCTGAAATTTTTTAATTATATGAACAAATTCCCATTGCTTGCTCAAGCTAAATTAAATCATGTTTCTGTTACTTGTAATGATATGTTAGTGGAGCCAGGCTTTAAATCCAGCTCTGCATGACTTTAAAGTTGATGTAATATCTATATATGAAAGTGCCTTTCAATGGTTATCATACTGAGGACAGAGGAAGTTCAAGGAATTCTTCACTAATATCTAGTGACTTATAAGTGAAAGATACTATATTTTCCTTCTATTAATAATGAGAAAATTGTCTTGTAAAAAATCAAATGCATGCAATGTGGCAATTTATTGAGGAAATGCAAAAGTAGTAGCTGGCTTTCTCAAAATGATAATGTACGTTATATATGAATTTTTCATCATTAATGCCATTATGTATTTTCTGTAGACATGGGGCATATTTTACTTGAAAGTCTCCAGTTAAAGGAGATCTCAGTGTTATTTTTTTTTTCTTTTTCCAAAAGCAATCCTCTGATATGTGACATTTTTTCTGTTAGCTTGAATTATGTAACTGTTTCTTAATAGGAGTCACATAGGGCCCATTTGCTTTACTTCTTTTCTTTCTAGTGCCAAATCAATATATTCTAGTGATGGGACAGATGACTCTGTTCTCCTCCTGCCTCCACTAACAAGGAAATCACTTCATCTGATTTAGACTCTTCAAACGTGACCTCATATTTAAGCCATCAGAATGAATTGGAACCAATGGAAAAATGACTTTCCTCAAAGACACAACCCTTAGCATGGCTGATAAAATATTTCTTTTTCACTTGGCACATCCTTGTGCTGGATGAAAACACAGTGTGTGTTGATTTTTGAATGATACTTAGGCTTCCTGGCTCCAAAATGAATAAAGTTCTGTGATTGTCAAGACACTCATTCATTAATGCACAGAAATACTCAATAGCAAATCTTGTGTCCCATGTACTGTACCCACCTTAGCCAGACTGCTGGATAGTTTCTGTATATGACTTCTCTGACGTGTGTGTGTGTGTGTGTGTGTGTGCGTGTGTGTGTGTGTGCGACAGAATTTCTTGTCACCCAGGAGTGCAATAGCATGATCTCGTCTCACTGTAACCTCTACCTCCCAGGTTCAAGTGATTCTCTTGCCCCAGCTTCTCAAGTAGCCTGAATGACAGGCACCGCCCACCATGCCCAACTAATTTTCATATTTTTAGTAGGATGGGGTTTCACCATGTTGGCCTGGTTGGTCCCAAACTCCTGACTCCAAGGCATCCACCCACCTCAGCCTCCCAAAGTGCTGGGATTACAGGTGTGAGCCACTGCCCCTGGCCCATTACTTCTCTAAAGTTAGTGCCAGCCATTTACTGAGCAATGAGTAAACATGGGAACAATTAACAATTATGTGTAAAACATGGTAGAAACATAAAGCAGATGTAGTGAGTTTGCAGAAAAGAATTCCAAGACACAGAACTGCTTGATAAAACAGGCTTAGCAACTAGCTTTGATTTCATTTAGATTCTTCATTTTTCAGGCTTTCTAGTATTGCTTCATTACTGCCCTGAGTACCAGTGCTGCCTCCTGTAGGCTGGGGGATGGAAAACAATATTTTTCATATGTAAAGACTAATTTTACTGTGAGATCTCTTAATTATATCAGTTCTCAACTTAGACCTATGTGAGGTATGGAGTTGGGAGGGAATAGAGGGAAAGTATGGAAACTTTACAGGGTTAAGTAGAGGCCAAGAGACCAAGACCTGTTTATGCAAAACATCAATGGGCAGTTAATTGCCTTGAGACCTCTGCCTCAATTTTAACTTTGCATCCTTGCCTAGGGGAAAAGGAGTATAGCATTGATTCATCAACCTATTTATTGAGAGTCTGTGATTATCAATCACTCTAAATGGTAATAGTAAGGTGAAGGTTTAGGGAGGTAGAGTGAAAAGAACAAAATGATTTTTATCCTGAGGAAAATCATAATGAGTGGAAAATTATAACTTAATTTTTTAAGCCAATGGAATAGAAATACATTCAGGGTAGTTGAAAGTTCAAAGGAGCCTCCTATTATTTCTCCCCATTACTCCAACCCCATCACACACACTTTCACACACTAAGACTTTTCCAGCTTAGATTCATAACAATTGTGTTTTCAATATGCTCCCTGACTCAATCCCTGTCTTTTTCAGACTCAGAGTTCACCTCCTCCAGGAAGCCTTCCTTGAGATGCCATTCCTCACCTGGCTCTACTTACTTGACCAGAAGATTATATCTTTATATTTTGTATCTGCAGGACTTGAAATATAGTGAACATTCAAGACATATTTGATGAATAAAATACTGTCCAATCCCTTTGTTTTATAGATTTGTTGATGAAGACACTGGGTGATAGGACTTTGGGCAAATATTGAACATCTACAGTGAAGTTTATTTAGTGCTGTCTTTTGTTCACCGGCCTATCCACTCCAACCTGTCTTTTGTCTTTACATCATATGACCGCCCAAGGTGCACTCTGTTATAATACATGCCAGTCCAAATATACATTCTGACAGACAATGCAGCTGCCCACATCTGTCAGATGGCTCCTTCTGTGACAACTGAGGATAAGATTTTTTTTCCTCCAAGAATTGAAACTAAGACTTGAAAAAACTTTGACGGTTAACTGCATCACCCTCAGTGGAGAAATAAAAATCTCTTTGACATCTAAGACAAAATGGCCATTCTCCATCTATCCAAAAATTCTAGTGAGGGCAACTATACTTTCTGAGGCATGTTGAATAGCTAAATTTTAGAATTCTTGCTCACAATTGGCTGAATACAACTGAAGTTTCACAGATTTACCCTTCTTCCTCATAATGAAACTACAGATGTTTGTTAAGTGTTCTCTGTGACAGGTTGGTCTGATTGGACCTTCCATAGGATTATATATTCCTGCATCCCCTCATGGCTATGGATCTCATAAGAATGGATCTGAACATCAAAAATATCACTGTTTTTATTCAGGCACTGATGGTGCTATACAAATATATATAAATATGTGGGTTAACAAAAGGAGGTGGAGGTAGCATGGCTGTAAGAAGAGTGAATATTCTAATGACCTGTCTTAGTGAAGCTGATGAGACTTTGAGTATTACTGTACCTGTTAAGGCTATGCAGCTTATTTAGAGAGAAATTTGGAATTTGTTATTTAAAAGTAAGTTTAAATAGAGTACTAATATCTAGGAAGGTCAACTTTGTTAATTCAACACAAATAAAAATCCAAGTCATGGTCATCCAGCACACATAAAGTCAAAGTAATTTCAAATAAAATTGCTTCTTGGCTGAATGCTTAAACAATTTTCGATTGCTGGAGTGAATCAAAGAATACTCATAATGTTAGCTGATTAGATTCACAGAGAGATGTGCTGATTTAATTCAAGTGTTCTGCTGTTCATTTCAACTTTACCTTCTTTTCTTACTTTGGATTATTAGATGCTTTTTGTTAATCCTGTTTGACAAGCTGCATCTAGTCTTGTGAGTTTAACCCTTTTGTGAATTGTCTTTGCTATTAAAAATTCTGTAACTATCAATCACTTGAATCATGTGTAGTCATGAAAAATGTCTGATGCTTGAATGCACATCTTTTCTCTCTCCATCTGTAATATCTTTCTATGTACAGAATAAATTAGAAACATCTCTGATGTTAATATTTCTGAGAGTTTAAATATGTCACTTTACATATGACTTATATGTAAAAAATATTTCTAAATATGACAAAATTAATCCCAGAGTTAATATAGGTTCAGCTGATATTTTGTCTCAGCTTTTATTTTATAGTTTGGTGAACTATGGGAGATTTGGGGTGAAATCTTAATTTATTGTTGTCACATAATATTTCCCTCCATATAGGAAAAGAGAATATTGTTAAAAATTACAAAATTACCCTAAAAAGAGGATCCCCTTTTTTCTTTAAGATATGTACAAGTTTCCACTCAGAAAAGTTGAATGTTACGTATATATCTCTCTGCTATTTTAGGTTTTTCACTTCAGGGACTGCATGATAATTCTCACTAAATCCGTTTGAGAAAAGATCTGTTCCTCGTTTAAGAATTGTTTAAAGACAGCAGTAAATGGTAGTATGGTGGTAGATAAATTCTATCCCCTGCTTCACCTTTAACCACTGCACTCTTAGACTGTGGACAGGTTAAAAAAATAAACTATCATGTTATATTCAATTATTCAGTCAAGTGGACATTATAATCTACCCTCTCCCTAATGTGTCTGCCTCCAACATATAAAAACCACAATAGCTTGATCCCAAGGATTCAGACTGTTGGATTTGCCCTACCAAGCAGAGGTGGTGGACAGCATTATGAATAATAGCTGAAAATTGTTTATATTTTTATTTTAATAGGGAATAAAGAGAACTATAAAAATCCTTTAACTGTTTCCTCCTATCTATTAGTGTCTCAAAATTTTTTACTCATAGCAAGCATAAAAATCACAAGATTTGCTTCAAAACAAAAATATTAAAACCTCAACTGCATGGTTATCTATGATGTAATTTAGTTCTTATAAACTCTGCTTTGTCTCATAGGAATACAGTTATTCACTAAGAATCTTCAGAAGAAAGGAAAAATAAACACATAAATGTTATTAAGATTTGTCCCATTTCAGCTTTGTGCAATGGCAGTATTGCAGCCAATGAGGTTTATCTGAGATGCAATTATTGCTAATGAAAACTTTTCCCAATACACACCATGGAGACATTAAATACAGTCGGCATTGGCAATTTTTGATAGTATTTACGGAGACTGAATAATTAAAAAAAATGATATGTTCCATTTTATACCTCATCTAGCATGGTTTATTTTCAAATTACAACAAACATAGCCATTTTTTCTCTAGAACTCTGTCCAGGAGACTGAATTGTAGAGATAATACTGACTGGAATGATTGCCATTTTATACTTAAAGACAGCTTCTTGGGTGTTATAAGAATGGTAAAATATAGACAGTGTCTAAACAAAACACAGCAAACAAATGCAATATTGGGGTTATCCGGGCTTTTAAAAAGGATTTTCTATTGTAATTACCTAACCATTTCAGAAAAAAAATTAATTTCTGAGTTAACTCATTTAATCTGGCCATCTATCATTGTCATTTTACATATCCATTTTGAGTATTTGGGCACAAGTTTTGTTTATAGGTACATGAGAAAATATAGCATATAGTTAATATATTAAATGGCTGTCTTTATATCACAGCATCATTTATTTAATCTATTATGTTGTTTAAACAAAACCAAACATTGAAAAGCAAGCATGGATATTGTAGTTTTTTTCACAGAAAAAAAAGCTTGACTATTATTTTTATGAAGTTGCAAAGAATTACAATTTTTATTCACACTTCATTTCAAGAAAATGAGCAAAGGATATTTATAGACATGCTTTTGATAGATACCTCAGTGACAATGGAAGTCACTTTTAAATTATAAGGTAAAATGTGAAACTAATAGATGAAATTTGACATGTTAAGAGTTTCATCTTTCTCAAATATAAAGATAAGAACCAATGCAGTTTGAAAATAGCAAAGGCCTTTCACTATCCTATGGATAGATATTTTGGGAAACCTATTACTTTTACATATTAAATTTAAAACTCCACTGCCTGGTTGTTTCTTTGTTATATATTTGTATTGCATCTTATTTTAATAAAGTTTTAAGAGAAAAACATCTGTATGATTTACATTTTATTTTTCAGGGTGCTTCAGTAGGCTACATATTAGTAAATCTATCCTAAATCCACTTATTTTTTAACAAATATTAATTATTATGCAACATGAACTATGTGAGGTATGGAAATACAGTAGTAAATCAGTTCTCATTCTGAAAGAATAAGAGAGATGAACATAAATGCTAGTAGAAGAATAAACTGTAAGTTGAGGTAAATGCTATGAAAGAATAAAAAGCAATGGAGAAAAATGTGTGTGTGTGGGTGGAATGAAGCTACATTATATGTGGTAATGTCTCTTTGAGAAATGGATATTGAAACATTGAATTAAATAATTAAATGGTGGTAGTTGCGTAAAATCTGGAATAAAGTGAATGACAAGCAGAAGAACTCAGTGAAGAAAAATGTGGCAGGCATATAATGAACAATAAAGGTACTGGTGTATTGAGCAACCCACCAGGGAGAAAGCAAGAAGGACCAGATTCAGGAAGGAACTTGAATTTTTATTCCAAGTGCAACAGAAAGGCTTTCAGCAGAGAAAGGAAAAGATCTGCTTCAAATTTTAAGATGATGTGTAAGGAAGGTGGCAAGGGTGCAAGCAAGTAGATCACTTGAGAGACTGCTGCAGAAGTTCATAGGAGGAACGACATGATAGACAAATGTGGTAGCTTTAGATAAGGAAGCAAGAGAAATTCATAATATATTTAGAGGAAAATTGACTGAAACTTGAATCATTGAAACTTTCTGACAAATTGGATGTCATGGTGATCAGGAGGCAAGAACAAACTGGAAGAAAAAAATAGCTTCTAGGTTTCTGCCTTGAGAAATTTGGTATATGATAGAACATTTACTGATATGTGGGAAATTGGTATTTGAGTAAAAATAAAAGGTTCTGTTCTGCATGTTGAGTTTGACATTTTTGAGGTATCTAATTATGGATATTAAGAGTTGAATTGGAATTTAGAACCCAGAGGAGAGATTTGGGCTATAAATATATATTTTCTATACTATCAATACGTGAGTTTTATTTCGGACAATCCTTTTCTTCTACTGATAATATGATCATATGTTCAGGACTAAGTACAGCCCCAGCTACAATTCAAATCATTGTAATTAGTGGGAACGAATATTTAGGGGCTCATAGGTTTCTTGATATTTTCTCGATAAAACTAGATCATATCCTTTGTAGGGACATGAAAGAATCTGGAGACCATTATCCTTAGCAGACTAACACAGAAACAGAAAACCGAACATGGCATGTTCTCACTTTTAAGTGGGAACTAAATGAAATGAACAGACGGACACATAAACAGGAACACCACAGAATGGGGTCTATTATAAGGTGGAAGGTAGGAGATTGAAGATGATCAGGAAAAATAACTAATGGATACCAGACTTAATATCTGGGTAGTAAATTAATCTATATAACAACCCCCCGTGACACACATATACCTGTGTAACAAACCTGCACATCCTACACATGTACCCATGAACTTAAAATGAAAGTTAAAAGAAAAAACTATATCTGTGGTTACTTAGCATTTTCACAAGAACAAATTTATAGAGTTATACAGAATGATACAAGACACAGTTTTCCACAAAATAGTACAAGACCCACAATAATGAAACTTTTCCTTTTGCTATGAATAGTGAATCATGCTATCAAGTATGAAGTCTCCATGAATACAAACTTCCATTAAACCATTGCATTTATTTATATTAGAACTCATCCTTTTGAATTCTGACTGCTTGAATTCAACAATTGATCAGAACCTTCTAAAATTATAAATTTTACCTTCTTATTAATTTCCTCTTGTCCTTAGATAATTTAATGAATAGAATATCATATCAATGAAAATACCACTTGTTCCAGGATATACATATAAAATAGCAATTTCACAATGGCAAGAATATTACACAATGAATTCATTTGAGTAACCAACTGAATAGTTGATTAGAATCCCAGATTTTGTTTAAATAGATAATATGCTACCATTACTTAGTTAAAAAATATTTACTAACTTCCATCATGTCATAATTTATTTTATGCACTGGAGAAGTCACTAGGGATACAACAAGTAAAGAAATAATTTGTCAGCATTCAAGGTTCGAATTGGAAATTGAAAGGTAGCAAAAAAACCATGTAATATCATATGATAAGGGCAATAGTAGTAACATGTGTAATTAATAGTAACATGTAAACATAGTAACATGTAATAACACGTTAGAAAAGTTAGTGGCATGCCTATGTAAGCAGCTTTGAAAGATAAGTCAGAATTCACAAGAAGAGGAGGGAGAATATCACATGGAGAAAACAGTATGAACAAAAATGCAGATGTCACTACAAGAGGAAAGGTGGTCCCTGGGCCTCCTACCTTCTCTTCCCAAACTTCATTCTCTCACACTTCTCTTCTTTGGCCACTCCTATGAGCTAGGTATAATCACACTGAACATGTAATCTAAATTCATGAAGGTGAAACTGGGAAGAGGCTGGTATAGTACATGGATGAGGGTTGGCATCATTTTGTAAAGGAATTGAAGGATTTCTGGTGCCAGGAACATGGTTTAGAAGAGGGAGACACACATTATCCCAGTGAGACTGTCTCTTGCCCTGACTTAAGGGTCGTACTGGCTGTAGTCACCTACATTTTCTCTGCTTATGAGATATATTAGTGTAAATACAGACTCTCAATCCTCAAGATATTTTTCCAAGTGCTAATATTGGTTACAGTATTCTGCATAATAGAATGATCAATGATGGTTGCCTAAGACAATGAAGAATAAAGAAAATTATTTAAAATAAGTGAAGAGAATGTAGCCTTGTCAGCAGTTTATATTCATTTTAAAAATTATGGTTCATTTCCTCTTGTAACTTAATAAAACTAAATGTAACAGGATGGTTTTTTCCTAATTTTTAGCAAGAATGCAACACTTTTCTCTAAAAGTTTTGATACTTGATATTGTCTGTCATCTTCCTTGTGAAGAAACAGTTCAATTAACTGATGTATTAAAAAGTCATTTACTACAAGAGAAGAACACTCATCTTCATTCTATCTCATTTTCATAATCCTTTGAAACACCCTAAACATAATGGAAAACAAATAAATATGCCAGACAATTTACACAGTTACATAGCAGTCCATCCTCTTTGCTCGCATGTATTTATTTTGCCATTTCTGCTTGAATGTTTTATCCTTTGATGAATGCAATATTTTCTAATTATTTTGAAGAAAGCTTAACAGAGACAGGAATAATCCATTAAACACGGTCTTGTTCCTGCAACGTTGTTACCTATTGTAGAAATTTAATTCTTGTTATAACTTCAGTTGATAAGCATGTTAATAAGAAATTTGACTGAGAAAAATAAAAGCATAAAAAAGAGATATTCCCTTGACACAATAGAGTCCTCTACAAATGATTTCTTACAACTTTTCTTGGGTGAAAATTCTAACATGTATTCAATGATTAAATTTCATGGTCCCCTAATAAACAATCCTATCTTTACTTTGATACAACTAATCACAGAAGCCTAGTCAATGTATTATCTATAAGGATTTTTGTCCTCAGTTGACATTTACTTTTCAGATTGTAATCCAAAAATAAAATCCTACGCTACTCAACTAACTGAATGGAACCCAACTATTGGCCAAGAAGATCCCCCAGTCCCCACCAAAAAGAAAATGTTCAGACCCTGACAGGAAGTGGGAGTTGAACATGCCTCATTATACCTTCCTCCCTTTGTTGCTTCCCTTTTATCCTAACTACTAATGCGAAGGTCCAGAACTCCTGACAATAATACAGCTGCACTAGGTTGCCATTCTTTAAAACAAATCTGTTACTTGAGTTCAACAATCGATCAGAACATTCTGAAAATATAAATTTTATCTTACTTCCTACCATTTTTCTCTTGTACTTAGAGGCAACAGCGTTTACATTTCATTAAGTTTATTCCTACATCCTTGGTGAGATTTGCCCATGATTTCAGACTTTTCCTGGGGAAATACGCCCTATTCCCAATTCAAAATGTGATGGATTTTGAGAATTTTGAATCAGGAAAGACTTATAAATGAATTCTATTTTATTTCATGGT